ACCGTGAAACCTGTTTCAGGCTGTTATAACACAGTAAATGAGGGGCTCTGAGACAAATGGGTCTGCCCCTCTGTCCTATAAGTTCTCTTAAGTCACAAAAATGACAATACCCAGAATGCTTCTAGAAGCACAACGACTGTAAAAACTACGAAGGCAAAGTTCAAACATCTGAGAGAGAGTTTTTAACTTTTCTCTTCATCCGCAAAGCTTATTTTTTTTGTAATGGCAAAAATCCCCAGGCAGCTAGTGGTTATTACAGCACATTTGGCTTCAATGAGCTGCAACTGGTGATTACAACACATTTTCCATTCATTTGGAATGGTTTAAACTCCACTGTTCCGATAAAATTGCCAAAGTTTAGTATAGTTTGACAGGAATTTAAGCATGTAATCATTGTTTACACACAGAATCCTTCCTATCCTGCCTGTAAATGATAGATAATGTAGCCTCTGTGTTATTTGTTATGTATTGAAATGAATTCTTTTAAGTTATTCAACTATTTCATCATCTAAACATGAACTTCATGGTTTTTAATAAACTGAAATATTTGTATACATATTAACTGAGAATCTTTCAGTGCATATATTGCAGTGTCATAAAACACTGGCAATACTCAGTGCAGCACTTTAATTTCAACTCATGGTTTCATTATACCATTCCTAAGCTTCAGATCCTATACTTTGCTGCTATTAGTCAAAGTTTTGGAAAGAAAGAAGGAAGAAAAACAATAATGAATATCATCTTTTCTTAAGTTTAAATCTTAAAAAGAAAAGCAAATGTCTCCATCAGTTTGTAAAAAGCAATTATATGAACCCCATATTTTTTCTTCGGCCTACAGATACGTCTTTATTTTGATTAGATGGTATTGCATAACATATGGTAAAGAAGATCTTTGCTACAGTTATATTCTTACTGACAAAACCATTATCTTCTTCTTCATTTTTATTGTCAAAATATAATCTTTCACGAAATTCTTCAGCTAAATTGGAAAACAGCCAAAAGACAAAGCCAAAAACTACAGAAGTTTACCTCAGCTATAGCAGTGGCCACGCTCAAACCAGCCAACTCCTACAGAAATGATATTGGTAACAATAATCAAAAGGGTCCGCTATTAAAGATACAGAACACAGAAATTCAACCCCAAAAAAAAAAAAAAATCACAGGAACTGAGAAAACTGACCATTAACTGATCAACACCGAAACCAAGAGGACCCATGAGTAGCTCGTCGATTTCTGTTGCTTCTTTCCGTGTCAAGTATGACACGGTATCTGGGTTTTGCGCCATCTTCTTTCCTACTTCTCTATTCCAGAGATCAAACGATCCAAGAACCAGTTTTGCAGGCAGTGACAGTTCTTCTGGAATGCAGTGCACTAAACATATATTAAAAAAAATACGGGTTTTAAAAATAGATGGAATTGCAGTTTTAATTCTTAAAGTTTGGAACGTGAGCACTTTTAATTCTTACAAATTTAATTCCAAATATTTCAATCTACAAGTATGCTTAGTTTTATTGACTGATTTTAACCCATTACTATATCACATGCTATTATGTACCGGCAATTAATTTTTTAAAAGAACTAATAAGAAACTTCAAATAAATATTGTTGATCATATAATTTGTAGTAATAAGGGAAGTATTTACTCACATGCCGATCACGTGAGTAATTAGTATTAGCTCAGAAATACAAAAGTTCAATTAATAAAAAAAATTTAAGTTAAAGACTAATTATTTGTATAACCAGCAAATGAGTAATTAGTCCTTTTTTATTGTAGTTTAGGTCAGCAAATTTTTTATAAAATTAATTATTGGCATTTGACTAGATTCCCATAGTAATTGGTAAAAAATCAATCATTATGACTAAAGGCGCATAAAAATTGAAACATTAAAATTAAATTTACTTTTATCCAAACTTTAAAATTCGAAAGCACTCATTGTTCCGTAGACATCAAATTTTTGTCAAATTTAAATATTTTTTATCTATTAAATTATTTATTTTCTTGCATTTTAATGTACATTTTTCTTATTTTTACAAGTTTGTTTGAAAAAAAAAAGAAAAGAAAAGAAAATTTTGATTTTTGTATAAATAAAAAATATATAAAAAATATAAAAGAAAATATAAAAAATAAAAATGGAGACATGATGATGACCAAGTCATCATGATGCCACCAAAATCATGATGCCTCCCTTCATGAATACTCCCCAAGTACTTCAATTGGCATTGGGCTGAGTTTAGAATTAACAACTATTATGCGTTTGGACCAAACTATAGGTTCAGCTCTATAGGCAGGCTGGTTTTGAGCTCATTACTGCAATAGCTTATTTGAAATTGTTCCTAAGTTTATTTGAAAATTTTGGGCGAAAAAAGGTCAAACTGCTTCAGTAGAAGAAGAAGGAAATTACTTCGTCAGTAAGAACATTAGCATATTGGGCCACAAAAACAAAGGGAAAAAAAATTTCGTAATCAGTGTTATTTTATCAAATTGAGACCTAAAAGCTATCAATGGGGCAGGAGAGAATGTGGGGTGGGGGCAAGGCCCGAAGGAGTTTTTCTCCCCCTCCCCCTCTTTTACATGGGGAGGGGGCCTCCTACCTCCTTCCCCACTTATAATTTTAATATCATATATATATGAAAAATAAAATACATAATACTATAATATAATTAGGATAATTTTTTATTCGTTGTCAATGTATATACGAGCAGCAGGTATAGATGTATGTCACATAATTTAATTTCAAATTTAAAATTCACTTTTGTATAGGTGGCATATATTTTATACCTGTTAGTATAAAGCATCATCTACACTGATATTGTATAAAATCTTAATCCATAAATTATATACATGAAATATGAAATTGATAATATGATATTTCCTTATGATAAAATAATATAATTTTTCTTGTCATGTTTTGTGATTAAATGATAATTTTGTTATGTTAGTTTTCTTTCTTTTTTTTTTTGTTATAGCATTTAGTTTATAAAAATAACGATAATTGATTTACATTTTATGAAATATCAAATATAGAGAAACGGGTTCAAATGATCAAAATTATTTGCAAACTTTATATCACATTAATTTTTTGCTAAAACTTCAAAAGAATTAGTAAATTGATTATCATTGTTATACATATATAAAAATCAAATCAATATTAAAATAAAATATAGTAGCAGGACGGGACAGGGGCATTCACGAGAGTAACAGAACAGGGATAAGATAGCAGAAAATGGAACGAGGGATCGAAGAAATTTTTAGGTGACGAAACTTCTCTCACCCCACCAGCCCTGTGCCGTTGCCATCCCTAAAAGTTACTTCAAAAGAATGCTCAAGTGATAAAATTAGTACAGAGTGAGCATGCTATTTAGGGCTACAAAACTAGAGCAATCAGTGTTTTCTTAGTGAACTTAGTGAGTTTGCGACCAACGACTGAGGGTTCAAGAATTCTGCATTTAAAAATAAAAATTTCATAATACAACCATGAATATATGAAGGGTACTAAATATCACTGGCACTGTTATGAATCCAAAACGATGAAAATTCTTGTCATTATTTTTGAAATTTAGAGTATGATTTAATAATTTGTTCTTGAATTCTACTTTTGGGTGCCTATCAGCACCACGTCTTAAGCTGTGATAGAGAAAATGGCTTGATTAGCTCGGCTTGGAATAGGATCTAATTTTTGTCCGCTCTCCCTTCTATTGAGAGGTTTTATTGCGAAAAGAAGAGAATGGAACAAAGAGGGAACAGGGGGAAGAATCATACCTATCAAATATTCCAAATAGTAAGACCTTATAGATGACCTTACCTGAAAAAGTGTAAGGTGGAAAACCTAGTGAAAATATGCTGCAAAGTGGGATCATTCAGCTTTGTAATAGCTTTCTTTTTTGGTTTCTAGTCAAGAAAATGGATGATGGATAGAGCTTCAGTGTTGACTGTAAACAGTTGAATGATCTTACTTGGAAGGATTGGTCTCCAATACCACTTGTCAATGAGCTATTTGATGAACTCTATTGTTCTCCATATTTTAGCAGAAGCAATCTCAGGGCAGGCAACATCAGGTCAGTGTGAAAGTTGATGATACAAGTAGCACAAACTTTAGCACTCATTATGGGCTACATGAATTTAGATTCATGATATTTGGACTGACATATGCCTCAGCAGCACTTCAGTGTTATGAATAAGACATCTAAAGATCAATTGAGAAGGTTTACTGTGGCATTTTATGATGATATATTAGGGTACAGTTGCTCTCTTGAAGTTCATAAGAAGCATATTGAAGAGGTATTAAGTAGTATGAGGCAGCACCAGCTGTGTGCAAAGAGAAGAAAGTGCCCAAACTTAGGTGAATATCTCAGCACATACATAATCTCTAAAATAGGAATTAAAATTGAAATTGATTCCAAAAAGATTGAAAACAGGTTGCATTGGCCTAGACATGAAAAGATACTTCGAGTTTTCAAAATTATACTTACCTCCTTTAGTTTGAGGTTATCATAACACACAGTTAATTTAATTCAGCACTTAAACTTAATTGGTTTAAGACGTTTATGAGTTCGGCTGTGTCTGATAACAAAAAATAGAATATCTTAATTAATTAAGTGGTTATGAATTATTTAGGCAAAACATACTCAAAACAATAAGTGATACGCTGTTCCTTTTTCACTCAATGCAGAATACTGTCAAATGTTAAAATTTCAATACTTTAACAATTTAGTGACTTAACAGATTCAAATTTCAAATTTCAGATTGCATCCTTAATTACTTCAATAATCCCATGTAGAAATGACTTTTATGGAGTAGTTACACACCACAAGAAGGCAAATGTAAGCATAATGACCAAGTCCTCACACCATTAATCTCCCTAAGGTTGCCTGCGCAGTCTCTTAACTATTGCATTTTGTGTGTTCAATTACACTTCTTTGAGGTGCAATTGAAAATTGACTGGAGCATTCATTTTCTGCAAAAATTCCATTGTTGAATGGTAGCCAAGTAAAACTTTATGTATTTATAAAGTATAAAATTTGAGATAATTGAAGAGTAACTAATGTCTACATTCAATTGATATCTCCAACTAGGCACCAAAGAGAAAAAAGGAGAATAAAGAAATTTACTTGTTTCCAGAGAAAGCCGAAAAGAAAATAATCTCACGAGAAATTTTCTTTGGACAAAGAGATGCCAGAAATGGAGAGACATACTTTTCTTCTTTAATGTGACAAGTAAAATACCCTTTCTGACTTTCTCTTCTCCCTGGTGAAATTTCTTCGACTATTGCAAACTCAATTAATCAGGGAAGATTACCTGTTTCATTGACCAGATCAAACCAAATTATTCAGTTCGTTCAACGTGCAATATATGCATTTTGATTTAGGTCTTTTAGATTTGTACTCAAGTATCACAACATAACCAATAGGGTGAAAAGAATATCACGCAAGAAACATGAAATTAGCAGCAGAAATTACATGGAAAATGCAATTCCCATCATTCAACTACTAGGTTGGTCAAAATGAAACCAGCCAAGTACTCGGTCCATATTGTAGCAACAACCAGCTTATTCCCCTTTCATTCCTTTTATAAGGCCTAAAATTCAACTCACCTCCATCAAATACCAACATTCAACACTAATTTACCAAAAAGTTTCGGTTCCTGGTATAGTTTACCTCAACACAAATGGCTTCAGGCTCACTGGCAATCTTGTTTTTCTGCACTCTTTCTCCCCTTTTAGTCCTATCCTCTGCTCAAACATGTTCAAGCTTCAGTTTCACATCTAAGAGAAGCTACACGTCTTGCATTGACCTTCCATACCTGGAAGCTCATCTCCACTGGAATTACACCCCATCAACAGGAAAGATTTCATTAGCATACAGGGCTAAACAAAGTTCACAGGGGTGGATTGCATGGGCAATTAACCCTTCTAGGGCAGGCATGGTTGGATCACAAGCACTTGTCGCTTTCCGCAACACAAATGGCAGCATGACAGCTTATCCGACATCAATAACCAGTTACAGTCCTTCACTGCTGCCAGGCAGCCTCAACTTCCAGGTTTCAAACATCTCCGCAGAATATTTAGATAATGAGATGACCATATTTGCGGTTTTGGGGCCACTAGAAGATGCAACTACTGTGTATCATGTCTGGCAAGCTGGAAGTACAGTTCTAAACAACATTCCTCAGGGCCATCCATTATCACCCCCAAATCTCCAATCAACTGGGACACTTAGTTTTCTATCGAAAAAGTAGGATTAAGCTGTGTCATGATGTATGACTGCCGTCAAATAGAGGTTGCAAGTATCAAAGTAGTTACCCCTTTGAAGTTGTATTAATTTAAAGTCATAACTATCTGTATCACAGTTCATGCAATTACTCTATATCTAGCCATGATTGATCTGCAGTGAATGAATAAAACCTTCATTGTCAAAAATAGTCTATCATACATATGCAATATTGCATTTTTTTTCTACCATAGCAACATTTTCAACCCCCCCCCCCCAAAAAAAACCCAAAAAATAGGGAATGCAAAGAAAAAGGAAAAAGAACTCATGAAAACCTGAGAGTTGTTCTGGAGCCACTTCAAACAACATGATCCTATAACTCAGTTGTAATGGGATAACTAATCCTCAGGCACACTAGCGCAGAGGGGAATAGAAGAGTTTTTTCTATTACAATAAGAATCACAACAGAAAGAGGTGCTGGAAGGCTACAAATGTGTAATCATATTACCAGTTAACTGATGAAGCTCCTCACACTTTGACTCTGTTATTGGTAGCTCCAAGGTTACCTGTAAATTATAACAAGAAGGCCAGAACATGATATATAAAATAAAGGAAAGATAAATTTCAACTCAGCTCTCTCTCTCTCTCTCTCTCTCCCTCCCTCCCCCCCCCAACACACAAAAGCACAGTGGTTCTGCCAAATCATCTAATAAAGTCTAAAGTTATCCAAGGAACACAAAAGTTATTTTGAATAATTGACTTCAGACAGTCTCTACTGCATCAATATTAAGCCTGCCAGTTTATGATGCAAGCAATTACATTTGAGTACAGAAGGGTCATATACAAAGGCATTATGGTAAGGGCAAATGAGCAATTGCTTATGCAGCACTAAGTTGTATTATGCTTCACTTACGCATTAAAGTCTACCCTGTTCACCAAGGTGCAATTTTGAATCTGGGAGTGTTATAACTAGGTCACAATTTTGGATAATGCATTAAAGTCTAGCCTGTTCTCTAAGTTGCATTTTTGAATGGACACATAACAGCTATGAACAAAGGATAAACAGTCTTGCCAGAAAAATTCAATCTGACTCACCTCTTGGAAGATTTCACTATGAGAAGTCTTCTCAAAGCCCTGCATGAAAATCACAGTACTTGGTCAACTTTCTAATTAGCAAACTAGATGTCTAAGAAAAATTAAATTGTATGTATATGGTAAATAAGCCTTTTACACTGTAAAGGGAGGGAGAAAGAAAAGCATTGCAGGCAGGAAAGCTTCCTCATTTCAACCTGAAGTTTAAACTGATGATTTCTATTTCTTTGCATTTAACATTACCAAAATAATAGTTTGCCATTAAGTGGATGTTACACTAGTATATGCTGTAATTGTTTTGGTAACTTGTTATTGTTTTCCTTTCAGGGAAAGAAAGCTAATGGATTCTGCCCCCTCTTCTTTTGCTCTGAGTAAAGGATTCACCCCTCTTTGGCACACAGGATATACCTTCTAGATAAGGAAAGGCAAACCCGTGTCTTGGCCCTGCGTCCTTGGGCACATCCACTTTAAACTTTAGATTGCATAAAGCCCCTAGCTTTATATGCACATAGATGTACCTTGTGGGACACAAAATTTTTTTTTGGGGGGGGGGGGGGGGAAGAGAGAGAGAGAGAGAGACCAGTTTCTGGAATAGACTTATAGAAGCTCTATTTGATTCCCCAATTTTAGCACGAAATAAATGGATGCCGAAATTCTCAACTGCAAATGCCATCATCATGAGAACTGATTCTTTCCCAAGCCCTTTGCCACGACTGCCTTTTGCAAGACACGAAAAAGAGAGACAACGCATTGTGTTAACAAGACTTGATATGGCAAAGAATTATGCACACAAGAATGACAATATCATAGGCCTTGCCACTTTACCCTGTCATGCTGTTAGTGGGAATTCACTCCTGGTGATGCAAGTAGGATGCTCAAAGAAATTGCCAAGTGAAAACTTTATGTTCACAAACAGAGATGCAGATATCATTTCAGAAGACTAAATAAAACTTTATAAAGATTAGGAAGAAAGAGCATTCTAAGAACGTTGCCCTCTCAGCTTAAAGCACGAATGGGAAAGATAAATTATTAGCTAATGGCAAACGAGATACATAAGAGAACAACAAAATTGACCAGCACAAGACACAAATAACAATAAGAAGCTTCACAGATTATGAGTCATTACAAACTGCAAAGCTCCTCACCCTCAGTGTGATGTTTACCTTCCAGCATTAAAGTTTGATAAAGAAAGGTGATTTAAAAAAAATAAAAAGAAAATCTTTTCATTCCAGAAATAAACAAATCCATGTAAGAATCCGACAGATTGGAATGATTTAATTCCTAAATGCAAGGAGCAAATAAATATTGCAAGTTTCTATATTAGGTTCTGCAATGCCATCACTGAGCAGGGCCAGAGCCAAAGCAGCTTATTTCATCTTGAGGTCGTGAATAAGCCCGATAAAACAAACTGAGCCAATCTGTTAAGTCTGTTTACAAGGGTAGAAAGATAGATGAAATACCATAGAGAGTTCTCACAATTGTGCAATTAATCACCATGATCTGGTGTTCCACAACCATTACAACCGTGAGTACAAAAGTCTCCAAAAACCTTTCTTCTCTTTCAGAAATCAGAAGTTGTCAATCCCTGAGTATTGTCCAGAAAACCATTACCTTGGATTATATTAATGTTAGAAGAATATCAGTATTCTTGTAGATAATAAATGAGTAAGGGTATTCTTGTAAATAGTTGGTTAGGTTTGTACTCCTATAAATACTAGTTAGTCACTCATAATATGGTTACTAGATATTTTCCTCCCAAGATACCTGTTAACATGGTATCAAAACTAAAGTCCTAGAGTTAGGGTTAAACATCTAGCAAAAGACTGTTCACGCGCACTGTTCATCGCGGCACTGTTCACAGAGTACTGTTCACGCGTACTGTTTACGGCATACTGTTCATGCTGTTACTGTTCACGCGTATTGTTCATGCCGTCCTGTTCACGCCGTTACTGTTCACGCGGCACTGTTCGTCTCGAGTTTTGACCCTTTTTTGGGTTTGAAGTGCTATTCACTATAACTGAAAGTTTATCAAAAAATATTGTGACGTCCACTAATATTATGCCAATGGTGATGCCTCAAATCACAAATTGGAAGTTGAATGACACCAATTATCAACAGTGGTCAAAAGCTGTTAAGATTTATCTCACAGGCTTAGGAAAGCAACGTTATCTCACAGATGATTCTCCTACGAAGGACAACAAGAAACTAACGTGGATTCAAGAGGATGCCCAAATTCTTGGAGCAATATGGAATTCTATGGAGCCACGAATTGCTTACATGTGTTCTCATTGTGAGACAACAAGAGAAGTTTGGGATTATGTCCGGTTATTATATTGCAGTAATCTCTCACGGATGTATGATATTTCTTTGGAGTATTTTCAGTTGCAACAACATGACAAGACAGTAACTGAATACTTTGCTGATCTTAAGCGAGTCTCAAAAGAATTAAATGCTGTAATGCCTCTCTCAAGTGATATTACGGTTATGCAGAGGCAAAGAGAACAAATGCTTGTGCTCAAATTCTTGGCTGGTCTCAAGCCAGAATTTGAACCAATCAAATCTCAAATTCTAGCAGGTGAACAATTACCATCCTTTGCAGAGGCGTATGCTCGGGTCTTACGTTCTGCATCTAAGGACAATGCACAGGGTGACGGTGCTCTAATTAATGACAAATCTGCTTTAATTGCTAACAACAATCGGATAGAGCAACTTAATTTTGGACGTGGCTCTCGTGGAGGAAGAAGTAGAGGAGGTCGTGGGGGTCGTGAAGGTCGAGACACCCGTGAGTGCAATCATTGTGGTTTAAAGAATCACACTCGTGATACTTGTTGGGATTTAAACGGAAAACTACCTCGGTTTGTTAATACAGTTACCACTGACCAAGCTGAATCAAATTCTTTAGCACAAGGGTCCCAGAAGACTTTTACCATATCTGAGGAAGATTATGTCAAATTTCTGCAGTACCAAACTGCAAATCATGCATCTCTTCCCTCTACTTCTTTAGAACAAAAAGGTAATGCTATGGCTTGTCTCTCCACATCATCTAATTTTGACTCATGGATCATTGATTCCGGAGCTACTGATCATATGTCAGGTACCTCTAGAAATTTTTCTAATTTTCAAGAGTCTACTTCCTTCCCTCATGTTACTTTAGCTGATGGATCTACAACTAAAGTTAAAAGACTAGGCACTGTAGAAATTAACTCATCTCTTCCGCTGCCTTCTGTTCTTTACGTTCCCAGTTTGCCTTTTAATCTAATGTCCGTTAGTAAGTTTACTAAATCTCTACAGTGTTCAGTTATTTTTTCTCCTAATTTTGTTGTCATTTAGGATTTGAAGACAAAGAGGACGATTGGTGGAGGACATGAGCATAATGATCTTTATTTTCTCAACTCTAATGGTCCGATTGCGACCCTGCTACTGTTTCTCCTCTTGAAATTCACTGTCGTTTGGGTCATCCGTCTCTACAAAATTTGAAGAAGTTGGTCCCTACCTTGAGTCAGTTGTCTTCATTAGAATGTGAGTCTTGTCAATTAGGAAAGCATCATCGTGTTTCTTTTGACCCTAGGGTCAATAAACGGGTTTCAGAACCCTTTTTGTTAGTTTATTCTGATGTTTGGGGTCCTAGTCGAGTCACTTCAAAGTTAGGTTTTAAATATTTTGTAATTTTTGTTGATGATTTTTCCAGAGTTACATGGTTTTATTTAATGAAAGATCGTTCAGAACTATATTCCATTTTTTGTGCATTTATTACAGAAATAAAGAATCAATTTGGTGTGCCTGTACGTATACTTCGCAGTGATAATGCGAAAGAATATTTTTTCACTCCTTTTGATACCTTTATGACTAAGTCCGGGATTCTTCATCAGTCCTCTTGTCCTCACACTCCACAACAGAATGGAGTTACTGAAAGAAAAATTGGACATTTAATCGCAGTTGCTCGGACACTTTTGTTGCACATGAATGTGCCCAAACAATTTTGGAGTAATGCAGTTTTAACTGCATGTTATTTAATTAATCGCATGCCATTCAATATTCTTGCAGGCCAACTACCTCACTCCATTCTTTTTCCTCATGACCCTATATTTAAATTATCTCCTCGTATTTTTGGGTGTGTGTGTTTTGTTCATCAGCTTGCTCCCGGGGTGGATAAATTAGATTCTCGTGCCATTAAGTATATTTTCTTAGGATACGCATGAGCGCAAAAGGGGTATAGATGTTACAGTCCAGTTTTAAATCGTTTTTTCACTTGTGCTGATGTTACTTTCTTTGAATCCACTTCGTATTTTATGAAGCAAGGTATGTCTTGTGAGTTGGACCAGTGTTCCTCTTTTCCTTCTCCTGTTTTACCAGTCTCTTCATCTTTATTACCTGAGTTATCGAGTTCACCAGATTCCACCACTCGATTATCTCGCCCTAATCTTCAAGTTTATTCTCGTCGTTCCATGGTTGAGAAAGCTCCTGATATGCTACGCACTTCACCAATTAACTCTCAATCTTCAGATCCAGGTGTGACGCCCTCCTGTGAGTCAGATCTTCCTATTGCTTTACGTAAAGTTAAAAGACATTGTACTTCTCATCCTATTTCTAATTTTGTCTCTTATTCTCATCTCTCTCTGTCATATTCTTCTTTTGTTGCATCTCTTGATTCGGTATCCATTCCTAAGTCTATTACCCATGCTCTCAATAATCCTGGTTGGAGGTTAGCTATGCAGGAAGAGATGCTTGCTTTGGAGAAAAATGGTACTTGGAATCTTGTTCCTCTTCCTTCTGGTAAGCCAGTTGTTAGTTGTCAATGGGTGTACACTATAAAAGTACAACTTAATGGTTCTATTGATAGATTGAAGGCTCGTCTGGCAGCTAAAGGATTTGCTCAGGTGTATGGAATCGACTACTTCGAAACATTTTCTCCTGTTGCAAAGATTACCTCTGTTCGTCTTTTTATCTCTTTGGCAGCAACTTATAATTGGTCATTGCATTAGTCGGATGTGAAAAATACATTTCTGCATGGAGATTTGGAAGAAGAGATATATATGGAACAACCTCCTGAATTTGTTGTTCAGGGGGAGAATCCGCGGTTGGTTTGTCGTTTAAAAAAATCCTTATATGGATTGAAACAATCTCCGAGGGCTTGGTTTGGCCGATTTAGTAGTGTTGTCATGGAGTTCGGTCTGACAAGATGTGGAGTAGATCACTCTGTATTTTATCAGCATTCTAATACTGATAAAATTTTATTAGTTGTTTATGTGGATGATATTGTGATTACAGGTTATGATATTGTGGGGATCCAGAAACTTAAATCCAATCTGCAGGCAAATTTTCAGATAAAGGATTTAGGCCATCTACAGTATTTTCTGGGTATTGAGATAGTTCGGTCTAAATATGAAATTTATTTATGTCAAAGAAAATATGTACTCGATATGTTGAGTGAAGTTGAGATGTTAGGTTGCCGACCTGTAGATACTCCTATGGATCCCAATGTGAAATTAGCACGAGATCAAGGTGCATTACTTGATGATCCTAAGCAATATCGAAGACTTATGGATAAATTAAATTATCTCACTGTAACGAGACCTGACATTTCGTTTGCAGTAAGTGTTGTGAGTCAATTTCTTGATACCCCTCGTACTAGTCATTGGGATGCTGTTATACGGATTCTCAAGTAACTTAAGAGTGCTCCTGGAAAAGGGTTGCTGTATCAAAATCATGGACACACTGATATTGAAGGATATAGTGATGCAGATTAGGCTGGTTCTGCCTCAGATCGAAGATCGACCACAGGATATTGTGTGTTTGTTGGTGGTAATTTAGTGTTGTGAAAGAGTAAGAAGCAAACAGTTGTCTCCAGATTAAGTGCAGAATCTAAATACCGCGCTATGACTCACACTGTTTGTGAGTTGGTTTGGTTGAAGAGTATGTTACTTGAAATTGATTTTGAGCATAAACAGCCTATGAATTTAGTATGTGATAATCAGGCTGCTGTCCATATTGCGTCTAATCCAGTGTTTCATGAAAGGACAAAACATATTGAAGTTGATTGTCACTTCATTCGAGAGAAATTGTTTGACGGAGTCATCAAGACATCTCATGTACCGTCTGTAGATCAATTGGCTGATTTGTTTACCAAGAGTTTAGGGGGTTCTAGGGTGAAATGCATTTGTAACAAGATGGGTGCTTATGATATATATGCTCCAACTTGAAGGGGAGTGTTAGAAGAATATCAGTATTCTTGTAGATAATAAATTAGTAAGGGTATTCTTGTAAATAGTTGGTTAGGTTTGTACTCCTATAAATACTAGTTAGTCACTCATAATATGGTGACTAGATGTTTCCCTCCCAAGACACCTGTTAACAATTACTTAAACCAACAGCTACATTTCTGGGGTTTTTAAGTTGTTCATCTTAAGCAAATAGATTTTGGATAAAATTTAAAGAAGGATTACTGACTCAAACATAATGACAAGAAGTCACAGACTTACCAACTTATGCAAACTGGAGTTGTTAATTACTTTGAACCAAAATTTGAAGTTTTCCTTAAATAAATTTGACATCTATCTTGACCTGCAGCAAGTACAGTGCTAAACTATTGCACCTCTTGTTAAGTTAAGTTGACATGGAATGTTAAAAAAAAAAAGGTTAATGTGGAATCCGAAGATTACGGAGCAATGTCAACAACTGATGCAGAGTCATCTGATGGGAAATCCTTGAAGATTCAATTTATGTGCAATAGAAATACAAGTCACTATTTTGGTTTGATTCTTGATTCATAAGTTTCCCCGATTCCCAGTTGGTAAATTGGTTTACCTCATATTCAAGTGAGACAGACAACTCCTTTGAGGAAATCAACACGGACAGAAAACTTCAACGCTAGTTCTTACTTGTTCAAAGTGTTTCATGAATATTGAATAGGCATATGAGAAGAAAAAAGTGAAAGACAAAGACTTGTAAAATTTTCAGTTTTTAAAAAAGATCATAGTAGGTTTAAGTAGATGGCAGACGAAACCCTACAAAGTCATTACTGCCTAGACAGTAATGTATAAAAGGGTGATTTGGTAAGTAAAAATCTGCAGTAATAATACACAAAAATAGCGTCAGAAAGTTGGTTCCTACAGAAGGAGGCCAGTCAGATATTATCAACCGATATGGAGGAGATATCAGTGCCACTGTACAGCCCATCTTGTTTGGACTAAGCCTTGTAATCTTCTTCCACAAGAGTAACAACAAAAGCAGTGTTCCCAGTATGGAAAATAATTTCTAGTTTTAAAAAGATTTCATAGCAGTCATGTTGACGATAGGAGCATGGACCAGACTCTGATTGGCCTTTTAGGACCAAAATTCAACTTGCTCCTGTGGGTTGGTAAAAGTATTTTATATGTTTTCTTGACATTAGTTCTATATCCTTAACATCAAACATCACTTTGGATGGAACAGAATAGAGGAGGAGGATTCATCTGAGGTTGAGATGATTAAGCTCTAGTTTCTAGAGGATATTATGTCCAAATTTGGGGTATGAAAGCATTAAAGCTCTCTTGTCTTAGTTCACTGATGAGTTTGAGGTGTTGGTATTGATTCATCCCCTGTCTAACCACAAAGATGTAAAGACACAGTACAATCTTAATAATTTAATCACATTAAGTTAGACAATGGCATACTAGAATGATTCATTTAGTTACCATAAACAATCTGCACATCCATTGTGAAAGAATTATTAGTTGAGTAAAATGTATTAAGAAGAATATGTGCATCAAAAGGTTATCAAATTAAAAAACACAGAATCCCTCCCAAATTTCCAATAGAGACAACTTGGCCACTGTAATTGCCAAACGATAAGCTCTAGAGTTGGACAAAAACTAGCCATTTCTGGCGTGTAACATACTACTAAATAAGTCAAATCAGTCAGAGTTTGCCCATGCACATGTAATTTATTAGTTGTAAAAATTGCACTGTAAAGGACATTTTGGAGGACACAAAGATGAGAATTCCGACTTCCCCCCAACCCCCCCCCCCTTCCCAAGTTACTAGCTTATGTTATTACTCAAGGCATGATATTAATCAAAATTAAGACCTCCGTTTATTACAAGATTAAGTTTATGCTACAAAAAACCTCAAAGACTGGAAATTTTCATTATAAACTTTGAGAACAACATTAGAATTTACAGAAATTTTAATCTCTTTTATAAAAATTAAAAACATGTCCATGTCTTTGGCATTGCATAAAAAGAGTAAAGAGAAATGCTGCAAACTTCCCATAATGGTGACAATTAACCCATAGATTAGTGGCCAACACACTGCTTTGTCCAACTTGATAAACACTCTCTCACATGTATGGTAACAAGAAGAGGATTTGGAACATCTAAGGTGCAAAAATGACAATTTAGCTTGTAAAATAGAATTTGCAGAACATGAAAGATAAGGAACCTTTTTGTCTCAGCTATCATTATCTCAATCTCAGCCATTTCAGCATCATCCAAGTCATTCATGTATATGTTGACATCACCAACCATGGCTGAAGAAAAAAAAAAGCATTACATCAAAGATTTAAAAAAAAAAAAGAAAAAGAAAAGGCATTCCCATAAACGAGAAGAAAACAGATCTTCAAGGATTTCTCCCCAACTCTTCTAGAATTTTCCTACAAACAAACTAAAACTAGAACAACTCAAAGCTACTTGCCCATTATGCATATGTCAAACATTTATACTAAATTGTCATCCAGTGCCAAAAATTGCTTTTTACTCTCCAAGAAGAAGTTAGCAAGCAAAGACATAAGTCTGCAAGTGTCTTTCAAATCCAACATCAAAAGGCAATTCAGAAGATTCTCAATACCATCCAAAGTATAGCCTTTATGCATATTTTCTTGAACAGCAGGAAATGCCAACAATCTTCCAAACAACAAAATGGCCAGTGATGGATTCAAAATGGTATCAATTGGGGCAATTGCGACCACAAACTCTCATGGCATTTTCCCCAACTAGTTAAAGAATACTTTTTAGACATTCCTAGCTCCTTTTTTTCTTCCCCCAAACTATCCTAGCTTAGATTTTCTTATACAGAATAGTCATGCTCATATAACAAGTGATTCTCCCCTTTCTAACACAAATAAGTTTATCAGCCAAAAAGCCCTGAAACAAATTCAAATACTAACAATCAAATAGCCAACCTTCAACATGGGGATCTCCATGAACAAACTCTCCAACAACCAATTCCTTGTCCAGGACTATAAAAGTTTGTTCTGCAAATTCCAAAGTCCCATTTTTTTCAAAGCCAGAATAAAACTTTACCATTCCAAAAAAAAAAAGAAAAAAAAAGAACCCAAAAAAGTTAAAAAGATAGGAAGAAAGAAAGAAGTACTGAAGGGATCCTGGGTCCAAGACAGCTGCATATCATATTCTTCATCAAGAGTGAGGGGCTCAGAAGCTGTGGCTTCAAGAAGGGCTGGGTCTTGCATCCATTCATGGTACTTTTCTACGTGCTCTTTCATGTATGGTACTAAGATTACCTTCTTCCCTTCAAGGCTCACCTTCATTTTCACACAGCAAACACCCTCTGCTGTCTTCTCTGAAACCCAGAGGATCTTGATGTTTTACAGAGGAGGAGGAGGAGCAGGCTCTGAAAACGCTGCCGTTTCTATCCTTTTCGTCGCCATAAAATTTTGAGAAAAATTCGGTTTTGGTCCCCAAATTTTGACACAAGAACTATTCTAGTCCCCACAGTTTGGGCCAAAGCAAATCTGATCCCTAATGTTTCCATATTAAAGCACAGGACAATTGACTGATTTTTTTCAATTTTTATTAGGATGGAATCATGTGACCCTTGTCAGCAGAAATTGTGGTCTTGCATTTTCTTTTAGAGGAGAATGGAGATAGAAACAAAGTTGGGATCGAGATTAACTTTGGGATGCCCAAATGTATATCTTTGTATTTTTAATAATTTCCCTTTTTTAAGTTACACATGTGTGATTATCCAAGTGATTTTAATCCTTAGCATCCTAATTTATTTGTTTTAATTTTAGGCAAAGGTCACATGACTCCATGCTAATAAAAATTGAAAAAATTGATCACTTGTCCTAAATGTATTTCAAATTTCAAAGATTAAGGACTAGATTTGCTTTAACCCAAATTTTAGGGACTAAGATCTCTCCTATCGCAAACTTTAGGGACCAAAAGTATGTATTTTCCTTTAATTTTTGGAAAAAAAGTGCTATAATGGTCCTTATGCTTAATTACAGTAAAGTCCTATTTGATTAGGGTCAATTACACTTTGGCCCACTAAAAGATTATTTTATCGATATTTTGTCCCCACTCTAAGTCTAGCTACTTTTTTTTTTCTGGAATTTCTATACACCTCACCATTAAATATACGACATAAAATCTAAATTTAAATTTGAAATCCAAAATTTATATATATGTCCTGCATTCAACCGTAATAGTATATACACTATCAGTATATACTTTCTTTTTTTTGGTTAAAAAGTCTAACTTCCATTTACAAGGGTCGTATAAAGAGAGATTTGCATCCAAAAGTTTGTCTGAATTGATCTATATTCAACCCGGTCCATTTGAATGTCCAATTTATCGAAAGCTTGCAGGGGTGGTGGAATGCTACTCAAGAGAAGTATATGCAAATATATTAGTATTCTAGGATGAGTTTACATTATTCATATGCAAAAATCTGGTTAAGATACCATACAAGAACCACAAAGCAGATGATCTGGGTTACATAAGGTTAGGATCCCCTCCATTGGATGTCTCTCCATTAATCTCTTTATTTATTTATATCTAAATTACTATAATTTTTTTAAATCATCCGATTGTATCATTACTTTTCTTTTGATCTCTAGATTAACATGTTAAAAAACAATATTCAATTGAGAATATTTTGGCATTCAATTTATATGAAACATTTGAACTATAAAAAATAGACCAAAATTGTGGTAAATTTTGTAATGATTAATCGGACAGCAAACTCAATCAAATTCATACCAAATTTTATGTATAATTAATACTAGTAATGAAATATATTATGAATGATGTTGATTTCTAAAAATAATTTTCAAATTAATTTTATTAGAGCATAATGGAGAGAAATTCTCTCTAATGCAATGGAAAGGAGTTTCGTCCCGCTATAATTCAAGTAAGGAAAAAGGTTTAGTCCTTGGATGCTAGTGAATAAAAGGTATACGCGTGGAGATGGATAAGAGATTATTTAAAATATTATTTGCAATAATTATTGTAGCATTTTTTTGTGATGTGATGAATGTGAGATAAAAAAATAATTGAAAAGATACAAAGATGCGTTAGAAATTATGTTTGTGATGCAAGCAAATAATTTTCTTCTTATTTAACTTAAAGAGGGATTTATTTATATAATATAGCTAATTATTACTTAAATTGTGAAAGTGTCTTTTTACGCGAGAATCGACATTTTTAAATGAAAATCATCGGCTACTCAACACTTCACATACTCAAGTTGTCTTGCGTACTCTTAATTCAAATATCATTTTACGCGAAAGTCGATATTTGTAGATGAAAACTCACAGTTACTAAGTACAAGAATCATTGGAGTAGAACAGCTCTTATTCTATTTTTGTCTTTTTCTTTTTTTTTTCTTTTTTTCAAAGCAAAGATAATAACATTCCCTCAAAAGAATAAACATGAGAAGAGTATTGCAATTATTGGCTATATTTATTACTTAACTTATAAAATCAAATAACGAGAAGAAATTTCATTAAATATGCAAAAAAATAGGCATAATTTTCTCCACTTTACAAGATATACTTTCCTACAAATGCACAAATTATAATCACATAATAGTTATTTCCAAATTAAATGAGAAAAGAAGTTTCCAAATCACATATATTTATCTCAAATGTAGACGGAATATGAACTACTAATGATATGAAACTTGTTATCTCTTTGGATAAAATTGAAAAAAAAAAATTGAAACTTTTTGGGGTAAATTCACAAATTTGGACAAGATTTTAAAAAAAAATTTGAATTTAAACACAAGTCCAATATTTGCAACCAATAAGTCAATCACATACAATGTATATAATTTCAATTTTTCCCCCCACACTTAACATGCACATCGTCCTCAATGTGTAAAAAGAAAAATTAAGATAAATAAAAGTAATACTCCCCTATTGTTATGATTGAAGTGCCCGAAGATGAAGTTTCAAGATCCGTTGTTTGTGTATCTCCAACGCTACATAATTTCCATTGAATAACCATTAGTGATATAAATCTAAAAATGGAAAATGAGAAACAAAGGTGATAACAAAGGCTTAATAAACAAAACGACGATCCGTAATTTCAAGCCTTTGTTTTGGTGATGTACCTATATAAAATACACAATAAGCAACTCACAGTACAAGAAAATAAATGAGGAAAAGAAGAAGGATAAAAATAAACCATGTCTTGTGTTCTTAGCATACGGACAAGAAGGAAAACGTGACTTGTGTAAAACGTGGCTTGATGGAGCGTTTTGAAAAAATGGCTTGATGGAGCGTTTTCAAGCCGCGTTTTCTGTCCAAAAATTGCAGAATTGAAAACGTGGCCCTTGTAAAATGTGGCTCAATGGAGCGTTTTCAAGTCATCCACGTTTTTTGCTGCAAATTTTTGCAGAAATGCCAACTTTAAAAAATTATACATGTTATCCCAATTATTCAAAATGTATCATAGATCATTATTTAACCAAAATTATCAATGCACGCACATGTAAAATGATCAAAATATGTATTTTACTCCTTTTGAACGGATCAAATACACCTTTAACGCAAATCAAGGGATTGACTTCCTTGATTAAACTTCGCCTTTTTCATCTCATTTTGTCACTTTTGCTTCTATTTTCAATACCTACAAAGGAAAAATAACAAAATAACTCAAACACATACTTTAAACATAAAGTCACACCAAAGTAACATAAAGTACTAAAACATTAGGTTGCCTCCCAACAAGCGCTTTTGTTTATAGTCGTTGGCTCGACTATTAAATCTCATTTTTCAAGAAGGTTTGGTTAAAGAATAATCCACCATTTTAGGTTGTGGTGGATCATTAAATGGTGACTTTATAGTAAAAGTCACATGTTCTAATGATATGAGGGATGAAGTGACTTACCTATTCCAAATGTTTCATAAATATTACCTTGAATATGCACCATTTGAGAACTCACTAAAGGAAATGCCGTGAGAGTATCTTGGGCAGCAATACCCTTAGAACATATACCTTCAATGCACTCCTCAAGAGGGGTGAAAAATGAATCATTAAAACTCACATCTTGAGGTTCAAAGTTAGTTCCAGAAATATTATTATGTGAAATGGATAATTGCTCATTGAGACATAATTGAGATTCATCATTTCATCAAAATGCAATCTATTTTCACATATAGCATTCCTATCATTCATGCTAAGATCATTTTACAAATTATTAAAAGAAATAACTTCACACTATACATTCAATTGCTTCTGTATTCTACTAAAGTGTGAAATTAATTCTTCTATTCTTTCCTCAATCCTATCAAAACGGTCGGACGTCACATTAGCTAATTTTTCTATAGCTAACTCTCAAGATGGCTTAGAATCATATTGGACACATTCAGGTTGGTAATCGTAAAAATATGAATAATTGCTATAAATACATTGATTATCCCAACCATAAGCAAGAGAATTGCTCCAATTAGCACTATATTAATAAAAACAAGGATTGTAATGTTCTAATTCATCATAGTAATCCAAATTTATGCTTGCATACATGTATTAGTAGTATGATAACCCCCACACAAGTCACAAATCACAAATCACATGATAAGAGTTAAAAGCATTAGCATTCCTCTTTTACTCAATTTCATGCATAATTGTGTCCATTTGAACTTGTAACATAATAACATCAAATTTTGCCTTTAAGCACTTCAAACCATTTTCAAAAGACATACCTTCAGTAATTTCTTGATTACCTCTATTGAAGGAGTTTTGCACTTGATAACCATTCATTGTCAATCTTCCATTTCTCAAGCATTGTCCTCCAAATTGACCTACCCTCCTCATTACCTATAATTACTTTTAAACAACTTAAGAGCAAAATTAGTAAGAAGAATAGATGATAAAATACATACATACATAAAATACTAAAATAACAAAAAATAACATTCACACTAAAACTAATAAAATGTCTAAACTAATGAATTTACTCTTCACACCGATATTGCCAAATCTTCCCCGGCAACGGCGCCAAAAACTTGACAAATTTTTGATATACGTACAAGTTAAAAAATTTGAAATACACCCGTTTCACTGCAAGTATACAGGTTAACTAGTAGTTTAGGGTATATATCGGGTCGATCCTACAATGAAGATTGAACAATTAGCGGCACTACTAAAGTTTCTCTATTATTTAGACTATCAATGAATTATAACAAGTAAAACCTACTGAACTTATACAAGAAAATAACAAATGAAAACTCCTTAAGTTATGATATCCCTAACTACTCATGCAAGTGCTATATTTGGATCATTGAGTACTACTATCTAGGCTAGTTATGGTGTAATTTCCTTATGCATATGAATCCTACTTTCGTAGTGAATCAATTATACTCATAACTAATCTATAGC